AGCAACAGCAAGAGCAGCAGGTGCAAGAGATGCAGCAGAAGCAGGAGCAAAAGCCAGCGCGGGAGCAAGAGCCAGAGCAGGAGCAAGAGCACGACCCCTTAAGAGGCCAGTAGAGATAAAAATACACCCTAATAATAACACACTTTGCGAGTTTTGATTGTGGGCCTTCCCCGTTTAATATTAGGAAGGAATTAGATCCTCAACCCTGAGCACTGAGGCCTAAAGCCGAAACCCCAAATCCCACATCAAGAAACACCCGAGCAAAGCTGCCTGCGGATCCACCGGCGGAGGTTGCGCCCCAAGCCGCCGCCGGGCACGTCGGAGATTCGTTGCAACCAAGAGCCACCCGCCGTCACCTTCCGTAGTTTAAGGGCTTGAGGTCTGGTTCAGCCTATGTGGCGGTCGAGGGCTTCTTCCACTCGCCTAAAGCCTGAAGGCTAAACCTGCAGCAAAAGCCAAGCTCTCTGTTCCAAGTCCGAAACACAAACCTGCAAAAGCCTGTCACACCAAATTCATCCAAAACCCGAAACCCCAAGAGACCCATGCATCCCGACTCAACACATGCACGAAACCCAGCAGCCTTCCACGTGCTGAGCAGCCGCTGTGGCCTGCAGGCGCTTGAGGAACTCGAATCGGAGAAAGCTTGCAATGTGTTAAATGCGAGTGTCCGAGAAGGAGCCTCTAGCAACTCTCCAGCACAGACTCGACATCGTGGGATCCGTAATCTGAGGATCTGCGATGAGGGATCGCTGATCTGAAGAAATCCTTGTAAATTCCTGCAAAGCCCTCACTGGACCCTACAAGTCCCTAAAGAAGCCGAAAGACCCAAAGCTACGTAGATGTCGTATGCCACAGCCCCATCCCCTCACACAAACTTGCAGCAGCCCTCACAAAAGTTCGTCATAGAGCCCCAACCCCAGAAGTTTCAGAAAACCCATGCACCCAAGAGCACCTCCGCCAGGTTCAGGTCAGTCTCCAGGGCCTCTGGTTGAGGAAAGGCGCCTTTTCCTAAGACCTCATTAAAATTCTGGAGTCCGGGTCGCTGTGGTTAGTTGTGATTCCTATATGCGTTTGGTGTGTCTAGGAGCGCGTAAANNAAAAAGCGCACTCCCAGGGTGGCCCGCTCTGTATAATTTCTAGGGGTTCTAGGGTTTTGTAAGGATGCGATGGAATTCGAAAACAGGTTTGCGAGGTTTTACAAGGCTTCACGGTCGGATATACAGGTAAGGCATAACATACCGACGTGCTGTTTACTTGTTGTATGAGGTGTAAAGTTAAGTTCAGGAACCGGTCATAGAAGCATTCGGCGTGTAGGGCTTTGCGCCCAGGTTTGCTGACATAGCCTTTGGTAGGTAGTTTCCCTGGAGCAGTCATGACTAACACTACGGAGGAGGGAGAGAGCGAGAG